ATAATGTCGCTCAGTGCTGCAATATGACGATGATGATTTTAACAAGCTAAAGGGGAAAGAAGTCCGTGGACAAATTTGATTTTCCACACCTGTGTGGCCACCAGGGTCCATGCAACATAAATTTCGTTCTCTGTCCATGTTTTTGAGAGTCAAAGCGCAGCCTAAACTTGCTGACCGTCTGGACTGTACGTGCCAGCAAATGTGAGAACACGTCTGTGTATGTAAACACATGTAATATTAAAAAGAACTACGTGTGTGTCCGCTATCGCCATTTGTTGTGGTGTGTATATACGGCCCTTTACATAAAAATACACCAAATGTAAAAAGAATCTTTTGACAGTGTGACCTGGTTAATTCTTTGATATGTTAACATTTAATTCATGATTATACACAGGTTTTGATCTAAAGTGAACACTTTACTGTCAACATGAATGTGTGATTCCTATGAACAGTGCTGTTGGAGGTGACAGGTACATCTTGCTTTGCACTAGTTCCTTCACGGGCGAGGAAAAAAAGTATTAAAATTTCTTCTCCTTGAGTGTTCTCTCCCCCCGTTTTTGAAGGTTGTGACTATCTTTGCTGGCAGTCGATGCAGCCATAAAAGAAAGGCATCGGATGATGCATGTCACAGAGAGGAAATATGCACATATTTTACGCGTTTGTTCTGAAACTGTGTCGATAAGACATTTGAGCTAAACCGCATTCAATCTGCCAGCAGTGACCTCAACTCTGCACCTCTCTATGCTGGGCAGTTTATGACCGGTAAACCATTTATCAAGCACAATAAATTACATGGATAACGCACTTTAGGCAACACTGTGGTTATAATTTGTGTGTTTGACAGGAAAGACAATGGGTCAAGGCGACATTTGTTTTTTAGTTTTACTTGACACCTTTTTTCTGCTGACTGCACTATTTGATCAGTTTCATAGATTCCTGAAGCATTTGCTGTTTTTACCCCAAATACAATACTGCTTGTGTTCAAAGTTAAACTGTTGCCATTAATAGCACTTATTGTTAGTACATTTCTTAGACAAATTGTGCAAATGCATATGTTTATTAGTAAACAGTTGTGGAATTTTGAATACAGAAATCTGCCAATAATTTGTTTCATTCGTTGTTGGTGATGCAAATATTGTTCAAATTAATCAGCTTATCTAGATTTTGTATTTTGCAATGGTTTTTTTAAATAGCATTTTTATGTGAATCAGATTTACAGTAAAAATATTAGGCTGTAAACTTACACTTCTAAAAAAAAAAATAAGGGAACACTTCAGGGATATCAATCTATCCAATTTGGGAGCATATTGTGTCACCTGTTTTGATGCAAATGAAAGTGACAACAGGTTCACTGGAGAAGCAACAGCGAGACAACCCCTAAAAAGGGAATGGTTTTGCAAGCAGTGGCCACAAACACTTGCTCTATTTTTATCCTTTCTGACTGATTGTTCTCTAGTTGTGCATTTTTAATTGTCCTTGTCACTACTAGTAGCATGAGGCGGTAACTGCAGCCCATTCAGGTTGCACAGGTAGTCCAGCTCCTCCCGGCTGTTGGTGGAGCTCTGTTGGTGGCGTGGCACATCTATATCGCAAGGTTTGCTGTCTCTCCCAGCACAGTCTCAAGAGCATGGAGATACCAGGAGACAGGCCATAACACAAGGAGAGCTGGACAGGGCCGTATCAATCAGCAGGACAGGCTGCCAGAGCCCTCCAAATTGATTTTGATGTATGTTTCTGACTAAACTGTCAGAATGAGACTCCATGAGGGTGGCATGAGGACCCTGATGACCTCTAGTGTGATCTGTGCTCACAACTTGTGCAGAGATCACCAGAATTTGCAGGTCCACCCTTGGCGACCTGTTCTCTTAACAGACGTGCAGGTTCACTGAGCACATGTGACAGACGTGAAAGAGTCTGGAGATTGTGGTAAACGTTATGCTGCCTGCAACATCATCTAGCATGAACTGCGGTGGGTCAGTGATGGCTAACTGTTCCCTGACTGCTGTTAGGTACTGCAGTGAAATCCTCAGAGCCATTGTCAGACCTCCCAGTCCTGGTGCAGGACAATGCCTGGCCCCGTGTGTGTGTGTGCGTGCGCGCAGTTCCTGGATGATGAAGGCATTGATGCCACTGACTTGCCCTCATGTTCCCTAGAACTGAATCCAATTCAGAACATCTACGATGTTATGTATCGGTGCATCTGACGCCACCAAGTAGCACCACAGACTGTCCAGGAGCTCACTGATGCCCTGATCCAGCCCTGAATCTGTTGGTGATCTATTTCCATTGACCTCGGTTCCGTCATTTTTTTCTCTCACCAGATTCAATAAAATACAATGAAGATTTTTAACTATTCGTTCATTGAGATCTGATGTGTGATTTAGGTATTTTGATTTGAGCGGTGTATATTTAACATGTGGGTGCTCCTGTTCTGGTTTTATTTGAAAAATAACTTTGTGTCAGTAAATGCACCAGAATGTTTTTCACATGGTCAAGGAATTGGATGCCGGATGTGGAGCTCTGATGGTGGAATTATGAGGCAGTAAAGCCCTAACATATTGCCCTTTTAACACAAAATAACCATAATGTCTCTCATAATTTATCTCTGGGGCAGCTAATTATGCATAATTAGCCTCCAGGGGAAAGGAAAGCCCACTGGGATACACTGTGTTCTAGTTTGGCTGCTGATCCTTTATCCACTTGTGTGCTTTAGTGTTGAAAATAATATTGTCATTTTATTGCACATGTGAATGAATCTAATTAACATTTGGTGGTTGAGAAGGACTGTTGCCACAAGAGTTACTAACTAACCCTGGAGGGGGAAGTCTTTTAGCTTTCGATTAAGGTTATAATGACAAGGTGTTAAAATAACACCAGTCTTATCTTTGTTTTTGTCATTATGATCTTTTGATTAGATCATAATGACAAAAACAAATCCTGTTTCAAACAAGTGTCACAGTAACGCTGCTGTTATATTATCTTTTTAATATTCTCAGCAAATCCTATGAAAAGACAAAAATCAACAATGACTGTGTGGAGCCACAGCCTGCTAGAGCTTATTCCTCTGTGCAGGAGAACTCCATTGTTGTCCAAAAACTTAGAAACTAAATTAGAAACGCATAAAAGACCCATACTGTTGAATTAAAGTGATTTTTTTTTTTTAAATTTTTTATTACAATGAACACAGCCAGTGTAGAAAAGTGGGACCAGATCCCCAGACAAAACACAAAGTACTGTGAAATAACTGGCTGTGTTCACTATAAAGAAATCCAAATACCACTGCATGGCTCTTTTATGTGTTTTAAAAGAGTTTTTGGATGACAGTATGAGCTACCAGGCTGTGAGTACGCAGACAAATCTTGTCAGTAGGATAAATAACTTGTCAGTTTTGGTCTCTTTTAGGGTTTCGTTGATCATGTAAGTTGTCACACCTTTTTAGATCAAGATTGTGATCTTCAGGCGAACTGTAGAAATCCCGTTTTTTTAATGTCCTCTTTCTTTCTCTTTCCAAACTTCACATAACCTCATTTACTAGCAGATCCGCACTACATGAACAAAAAAATAGAATGAAGTTGTGAGAACTCAACTGCAACTGTTATTTTATGATTATGTTATCTTTTGGCTTCCGATTACAACTTAAAATGAAACTCCGGTTTCAGTCACCATTTAGAAACATGTACAGTATCTTTCCACAGGGCGTTTTAAAAATTGAGAAAAAAGATCGCAATTTAGTTTGTTATTGCTATTAAATAGATATATAATATAAAAATATTTTTATTTACTAGAGACAATGCACATTAATCAACATTGCAATTAAACTTAAATGTAAATGAACCAGGAGTTGGCTAAATAGCTAATTTTTCATGTGTAGTCCCTGAGCAGGTTGTAACTAATTAGTGCCAATATCACTAGCATAGGGCCTAAATAAGTACTGCAAGAAAAAGGTAATATACAAGATAATACATAAACACAAGATAATATATATATAAATACATGACAAAAGTGACGACAGAAGTACAGTATGTAAAGGCATTAAGATAATGTAAAGTGCTGAAGATAGGTGGGTGGATTGCTAGTGGCTACAAGTCTGATTTGTCTTTAGCCATGTCTTAAGTTTATGTTTAAAAGTTAAATAATTATTGCATTCTGTCAGTTCAACAGGTTAACTAGTAGCGAGAGGCTCTAACCGAGAATGCTGTTTGTCTGTTAAGACTTTTTCAAGGGACCGCCCATGCCTATGTAAATATATTGTATTACAAGGATATCTACTGAAGTTAGCATGTTAACCTGCTAGCCAAAACCAGCCAAAGCTCGTCCTGTCTTGAAATACCACTTTGTACCTCAAGAGGACATTATCGGATAGTATAGATCAGGCCTCCACCCATAGTATCAGCTGAAAGAGGATTAACATAGTGATTTTGCCATTCGCACACAAGCTCTCTTGGCTTTTTTAGTCTAATAAAAAACTCACGGAGTGTAAAGAAAGGCAGTATTCGTACAGCTATGGTCCTTAACACACTGCCTGATCTCCCTTTAGCTCCTCTCCAGCTTGATGCCTTTCCCGAAGCTGCCATGCCTTTGTCAAAGTCAGAGTCCTGGCCTGTTCACTGGGATAGCGGTATTATTGGGGGTTGTAGCCCGACACACTAAAGTTTGCTTGCTTCTCAGCACACATTCTTCTGTCAGTCCTGGCCAGAGCCGCTGTAAATCACCTCGGTACTGTATTCCCTGTTGTCAAATTGGCCTCTGATGGTCTTGGAGGCTGTGTTCGATCCCAGTGCAGCTGTGTCCACTGGGAGACTGCGGAGCCTGGTTCTGTTGCCCGCTCGCCTGGCTCCGGTTCTGGTGAACATTCCGTACTCAGTCCGCTAATAGGACTGCTAAGTTAGCTGCACGGCTAGCTGAGCTAACTAGCTAACATATGTCTGTAACATCTGGTGGAGAGTAGTCAATTCTTACACAATGCACCTTATAAGACCTTGTTACTCTTGTATTGACAGGGGCAGTGTTCGTTTTTCCCCCAGAGGCACCACTTCCTGAAAGGCCTCGCAGTGAAGGCGTGACATACGTGAATATTCCTGTTAGTCCACAATCCAAGAAGCAGCTCAACTACATGGAGCTGGAGCTGCAGGAGCCAGGTCCTAGCACCCGGGGGGCTGTTGCACATCTCCCGCTTCAGAGTAAGGACACATCTGAAATAACCTTTTGATAAATAAAAGGGCTGACATATAGTTTACTCTAAAGCAGTGGTAATTACATATTCATATTACTATATTTTTTACCTTATTCAAATGGCAGCCATCTATCTATTGTTAAAAGAGGCCTCAGAAAATCATGTGTCCCTTCCAAGATTAGTAGTGAAAAACTCCAATAGACCTCAAAAATGCTCAAGATAAACAAACTACATAATAAAATTGACACTTGGAAGATTGCAGCAAATTGGTGTGGGCTTTGTCTAACATTTAGAAACCTGCATTATTTGTATAATTTGTTTACTTGCTTGCAGCCTTCTTCTAAACTGCCTTTGTTGGCAGATTATCTGCAACTGTAGATTGGTGCAAGTGTGAAACGATTGGCTGTAGGGCTGAACAATTTATTGAGATCTTATCGAAATTAAGAATATAGCCATCTGCAATTTTCAAATTGCAGGAGGTGCAATATTTGTTTTGATTTGGTATAGATCCTTGCAAAAATCATACCGTAATAATTTTTCAATGACAATCATCCTCATGCATGACAACAAACAGTAGCACAAAAGTCTGGATGATAGTAGTGCGAGGTATCAGATCTCAGTACCATATTGGTAGCAAACAAAGTTTGTGTACAATATGACTATTGCTTACTTTATATTAAAGGTTCAGTGTGTAAGTTTTAGTGGCATCTAGTGGTGAGGGTTGCAAATTGCAACTAGCGGCTCACAGTGCATTCACATGCTGCTTGGATGGTCCCATTTCCCGAGTCGTGAAGTCGTTCTTCCGACTTCAGTGTGTGTTCATATGCTTTTAAGTCGGAATGTGGAATCAACATGGACGTTACTACAAAAATGTGTTGGATTAGCCTTATGAGAGCATAAAAACAACACGCAGACATCTAGTTCACTCTACATGGACAGCAAACTAACCGTTATAACCATATTACAAATTACATGTTTGCAAAATACGTATATATAATACGTGCTTTTGCACGAATCAAAGTTCTGTATACTTCTTTATGTCCCAAGTACACTTTATTTCTCTTTTTGCAATAAAGTTTTGAGGAGGAAAAAAAGATTATGATTATTCCGACACCACATGAATGCACCTTCAGCGGCTGCTCACCCCTCCCTTTCCAAGCAAGCAGGTGAAGCTACGGTGGCCGACACGCTCTGTCGGCTCTTGTGCTAAATAATACGCGTGCTCCTCCTTTTGTTCAAATTTCTCTTCTTTTCTTACTTTTAATAAACTGATCGACTACTACTGCTATATTACTACTTCATATTCTTACGTAGTGATGAAACACGCGCTGAAGAGCCGTTTGTCCGTTCCGGCTACTGTAGAAACATGGCAGTGCAACATGGCGACGTCCATATAGGACCCGCGGTGTATATAGATATAAATGGCTCACTCTAAGGTAATAAAAACATAACGTTTCATTATGTAAGGTCTTTATACACTACTGAAAACATAGTTATGGATAATATATTGCATTTCTGTCAAGAGATCTCCAGCAATATTACACACTGAACCTTTAATGCATTGTTCCACTGTATAAATGTTAATCATTGCATACATTTATGCACTGATGTAGCTCTGCCAAATGGACATGCTGTAAATAACATCATCATCATTATAAACTACAAAATCAGGAATTGCCTTTTAATGTCCATTCAGATCCCTTTAAGAAATTCATGAAAAATCCATGAGAATTTCTGATGAGGCTCCTTAATAGATAAGATGAAAGCAGAATTTTAATGCAAAGGTTTGAATTTAAAAGAAAATCCACGTCCCTAATTGGTTCAATGAAAGTAAAAATAACCTTAATCGTGCCCTTACGTTTTTGTCTTTGTTCACACAGTGTACAAGGATTTCTTTTGTGCTCGTGTTCTGATATGTGCTGCATCGTGGAAGAGCAATTTAGTAAATAATACATTTTCTGTTCAAATCCTGTAGACAGATATGAAAGAGCCAACTCAAAATAAACCAGCATATCGATATCAGGCGAGGATGAAAAGTTGCTCTCGACACACGATTGTTCTGTAATTCGATTTTACGTCGTCAGAGTTACAGGAATCGCTCAAACGATTGGGCTGATTTCCTCCTGTCCCACTAAAAGACAGCTGTGTCCTTGTCATCGGAGACGCGGTAGTGAGCTGTAATTGACGGACAATTCGACTATTAGCGTCATTGTCTTCAGAACTACGAGAGCTCTCTGGCTCTGACAGAGAGGTTAATATCTCATGTCAGCAATACAGTTAATATCCCGGCATGCGGCCCCATTAATCTGTCACCTGGGAGGAGGGTTGTCCCACCTCGCCCCTGAAAGGGGGTTACAGCGCATTCAGATCACAGCTGTGAATTCACTGGCTCAAATAGGATCCTCCTCCAGGGACTATTGATGTGCTGTGAGGAGCTGGTTTTGATTTCCTCCATTTTTATGAGACTATAAAACACATAACTCCAGCAGGAGGCAGCGGTATGGCGATGTGCATTTCTGGGGTATTGATGCACATTCTGCTTTTGCGATTAAACCTTGACATCTTGCTTATTTGATTTTCACCCAAGGAAAGGCACCAAATGATGGCAGTGCCATGGACGTGCACATGGAAGACAGCACATGGAAGACAGCACATGAGGGGAATTTTAAAGGCTTCAGCTGAATAATTTGCATATTCTTCTGCTTTATGTGGGGACGCTCAGTCGCATAATGCTAAGCAATCATGTTGACAGCGAGGGCAGAGATCCGCTTCACTCTGAACTCTCTGTTGTCATGTTTGTTTGGACGTTTCCATCAGTTCTTAGAATTATGGCTTTTTTAAAAAGATGATTCAGCAATGAGTTCCCAGAGCCCAAGGTGGCATCTTTTATATGTCTTGTATTGCTTTGTTCAACCAATACTACAAAAACCTACTGTGATAGAAGACTTAGAAAACGAAGAAGCTAGACATTTTGCCATTTTTGAATAAAATGAAAACAAGTAACCGAATGTCAAAATTGTTACTAATTAAGAGAATAGTTCAACATTTTGGGAAATATGATAATTTGCTTCCTTGTCAATCTTCAAATCTAACTCTCAGCAAGAAAGCATATGAAAATTTCCAATCCACTAATTATTTCAGCTCTTCCAAAACAGAAAGTGTGGAGAGCTCAAGTATTGGAGCCAGGTTGGATGACTTTCTATGACTTACTGAAGTTAAAAGAGGGTATTTGTGGGTTTTTGTGTCTTGACAGGAAAGACCTCCACCAAGTACGCCCAGATTGACATCACCGCTACAGAGATGGCCCACAAAGTCGGCACGCAGCATGCCCTGGGTCGGCAGGAGGGCCTGCACACTCTGGAGCTGAGAAGGAAGGGTACACCTCATTGACTTCTTCATCACTGAAATGTTGATCTCAGCAGGAGGTTTGTGCCCAAGACCAGCCGGCTGCATCATGAAACATCTCTGAGGGGGCTTTTGAGTCCAGACTGTTCCCAAAAGATCCTCAGAGGTTTACTGTGGGATGCGTTCTCTGTCCTGTTCCATCTTTTGAATACAGAAAATATCTGCCCAGTCTCCATATTCTCTGATTCAGACTTCTCTAATCACAAAGCAACTTGAAGATGGAACCTCCTCTGAAAGGTCTGGCGCAGGATCAGGAGCAATATTTCAATCTTGGTCTATTTTGTGGACTTGGGCATCTCATTAAATGGCATTGTGTCAGTGCCTGAGCCTCAGGCTAACGCGGAGGAAGATGTGCGAGTCCTGAGCTGAGTCACTGGCCAGGATAAACCCCTAGAGCAGAAGAATTTCACAGCTCAGTCGGGCCATCCCTCACAACATGTAATATGCTGTTTTGGTCCTTGTTTGGGAAGGGGAGGAAGCAGTTTTGGTGTTTATTCTTACAAGGACTTCACATTAATTTATTCCTCAGTGATAACCACATCAGTAATTCCACATGTAGTTGCACGAAACTCACTTTTTAGTATATTCATATTTGGGGAAACCTTCCATCCAGTCTTACTCAGAATGCTGCAATTTTCAGGCTCCCAGTTTCAAAAAATTACAAGATTTAGGTTTGTATAAGTAAGAGTGAGATAATTCATGGCTCTGCATAATACTTCCACATCGTGCTTATTTTTGCCAGGGTGTAAGTAATGGATATGTTTTTATTATATCAACAGAATCTCAATGCTGCTAGTGGTGTTTTTTTTTTATATGGAATAAGATTTACTGTGGAAAAGCAGGGAAGACGGATTTCCTTTATCACAACAACAAATGTCTCCCAGAACAGACTGTCTGGCACTAGTGGCCCTCGTTTTTAAAAAAAATTATATATTTGAAAAAATTCATTTTTTTTGTTTGTTTTTTACTGAAGGTGGTTAACATCCTTTTAAAAAAAATCCTAATTGTGTGTGTGCACAGACATTTTATTGAAACTGCAATTTTGAAAAATAGTTTTATGCTAAGTGTTTTGTAGAGCTAATTTAGGAACCCATTAGAGTCTGTGATTTGTTATTGTCACATATTGTCTGATTACACTCTCTTTTGATATCTGTAAATACATTCTCGTTCTGTTTAGGTGATGTGGATTGTTATAAAGTATACATGTGTAGACATCATGTATGTACAGTAAAGATGGATTAGTAGAGTATTCATAACATTAACAACTGCTTTGATGTGCGTGTTGGATTCAGTACAGTAGGTCATATGGGACTTATTTCCCTATGTACAGTTTGGTACAATGTTATATAAAAGCATCCATACAACTGATGTTTGTTTTCATTCAACACTACGATGAAGGAAATTAGCACAGATCACGTTAACTAAATATGTGCAATATTTTTTGACCTTTGGGCCAGTGAGTCTGGAGTGAGCCACTTGAATAATTATACAATATATAAAAGATTATATAAATCACAATTTTTATTAAGAGCGTTTCATTTGCTAATGGGTAATCCTGCTTCCTTATTCTGTATGTTTTTTACCCCCTTATTAGACGTCTTAATCATAATAAAATAAAACCAAATACTTAAAATATGCTTCAGTAGTATGGAACAGATTACTTATAGTGGTCCCATATTAAAATTAAATTTAGCTGCTGGGTAGCTACTAAAGAAAATGTAGCGGAGGTGACTCTTTACAAGCTAGAACTAGTCATTTTTTGTTAAACAACAGTTTACTGTTAACTTTTTTTAAAAAAGCAAATCCATATCAGGCTGTTTAGTTTTACTTAATGTCAGCAGATGTTTTCTTGTCACATAAGAGGAGGTAGACATCATAACAGGAACACCTGTGAAATCAAACACAAATATCAACTTTGTTAGCCTTCCAATTGTTGACCAGATTTGCTCACATTATTACAGTTTCTATCTGCGGGAAAGGATCTAGGAGCACCAGCTTGGCTGTGTGAGAGCTTTGGAATAGAAACACAGTGGGTTGTGCACATTGTTCTCACAGTGTGCCACAGATCAGGCTGTAAAAGCTTTCACACAGAGGGACTATTAACAGGCATTGTTCCCGTTCCACATATTTTCAAGATGCTGATGTATAGTCTGCCAGCCTTCAGAATGACAAGATTTGCATTGGCTTGTCACACAGAGACTATGGATATTAACTTCACTGACCTGGAACGAAACCATACACAGTAGCAAAGTATTTCTTGGAAACTAATTTATTCATTAGTTAGTTTAGCCAGAAAGAGCAGAGAAGTAAAGTGTAATTGGCTGCCTGAGCTCAAATATTGATATAAATAAATTTAATGTTAATGCCACTCAGAAACTGGTGGCAGATTGAATCATCTATGCAAATCCGCAGACAGCTTGTGTGTAATTGCAGTGCCTGTTTTCAGTGAAAGAAACAGCAGTTTAGTTCTTGTGGGCAGAGTTTGAATCTCTCCCACTGTGACCACCAACAGTGAATACCCCACAAGTCCAATTCAGGCTACCATCTGTCTACCAGACTGTGGACTTGAGACTCTGACTCGAGTGAAGACTTAACTTGCTTGAGAGACTTCTTTAACAAGATTAAAATTGATGCTCGACCGGATTCTAAACTTGACATGTGCTTTGACAAGACTGTGACAAGCATTGAGACTTGAAACTTATTTTGACAAGACTTGTGACCTTCCTTGCCTTTGATTTTCCCTAAAGGACCTAATAACAGCACTTATACACTGTCGAGTCTATCAGGAATGTGCTGTACAGGAAGCATATAAATGCTGCTTTCATACCAATATAAAAACACTCTACAACTGGATATTGAACTTCCTCACAAACAGACCCCAGTCAGTTCAGATTGGCGGACTCCTCCACTCCAGTGCTCAATGCCGGAGCCCCCCAGGGCTGTGTGCTCAGCCCCCTCCTGTTCATGCTGTACACCCACGACTGCATCCCCAGGACTGGAGGGCTGTGTGCACGGCCCAGGACTGGAGGGCTCTGCAGCGGGTGATTAAAACTGCTCAGAAGATCATTGGTACCCATCTCCCGAGCATCAGTGATCTCGGCGAGGTGAGGTGCCTACGCAGAGCCCAAAGGATACTAAAGGACAGTACCCACCCAGCCACAGCCTGTTCACCCTGCTGCCTTAAGAGAGATAGAAGTTTCTGCTGCTACACCACCAGACTGCAGAGCAGCTTTTTCCCCAAGCTATCAGACTCTTAAACTCTAATTCATCCTCAGCACTGCTCCAGTGATAGTTTACTTCTGTTTACCATTTTTCATAATGAATTCAGTATTAATGTTCATTGTCTGCTATGTAGCAGTAGGGAATTACAAAACTCAATTTTACTCTGACAATAAACCTACCTACCTACACTCACCTAAAGGATTATTAGGAACACCATACTAATACTGTGTTTGACCCCCCTTTCGCCTTCAGAACTGCCTTAATTCTACGTGGCATTGATTCAACAAGGTGCTGAAAGCATTCTTTAGAAATGTTGGCCCATATTGATAGGATAGCATCTTGCAGTTGATTGAGATTTGTGGGATGCACATCCAGGGCACGAAGCTCCCGTTCCACCACATCCAAAGATGCTCTATTGGGTTGAGATCTGGTGACTGGGCCATTTTAGTACAGTGAACTCATTGTCATGTTCAAGAAACCAATTTGAAATGATTCGAGCTTTGTGACCTGGTGCATTATCCTGCTGGAAGTAGCCATCAGAGGATGGGTACATGGACATGGTCAGAAACAATGCTCAGGTAGGCCGTGGCATTTAAACGATGCCCAGTTGGCACTAAGGGGCCTAAAGTGTGCCAAGAAAACATCCCCACACCATTACACCACCACCACCAGCCTGCACAGTGCTAAAAGCATGATGGATCCATGTTCTCATTCTGTTTACGCCAAATTCTGACTCTACCATCTGAATGTCTCAACAGAAATCGAGACTCATCAGACCAGGCAACATTTTTCCAGTCTTCAACTGTCCAATTTTGGTGAGCTCTTGTAAATTGTAGCCTCTTTTTCCTATTTGTAGTGGAGATGAGTGGTACCCGGTGGGGTCTTGTCTGTTGTAGCCCATCCGCCTCAAGGTTGTGCGTGTTGTGGCTTCACAAATGCTTTGCTGCATACCTCGGTTGTAACGAGTGGTTATTTCAGTCAAAGTTGCTCTTCTATCAGCTTGAATCAGTCGGCCCATTCTCCTCTGACCTCTAGCATCAACAAGGCATTTTCGCCCACAGGACTGCCGCATACTGGATGTTTTTCCCTTTTCACACCATTCTTTGTAAACCCTAGAAATGGTTGTGCGTGAAAATCCCAGTAACTGAGCAGATTGTGAAATACTCAGACCGGCCCGTCTGGCACCAACAACCATGCCACGCACAAAATTGCTTAAATCACCTTTCTTTCCCATTCTGACATTCAGTTTGGAGTTCAGGAGATTGTCTTGACCAGGACCACACCCCTAAATGCACTGAAGCAACTGCCATGTGATTGGTTGATTAGATAATTGCATTAATGAGAAATTGAACAGGCGTTCCTAATAATCCTTTAGGTGAGTGTATATAACTGTATAAGCCACTGGATTCAGATTCACGTGTACACTGGGTTTGAGGAACAGAGGCTGCATAGGCAGTGTATAAAAATCCAGGGACTTTCAGTTCTGTTCTTTGTACTGGTTCATTTATCTGAAATCTCCTTCTCCCCTTTGCCTCTAAGAAAATTACATCTACTGAATAAGTAATTGGTACTTGCAAATCAAATTGTCTGCTTTGCTTTGTCAATGTTATACATACTTGTCAGAAAACAAATTCAAGCAATTCAATCTGCTTAATTATTCATGCAAGGTCATTTTTTGCCTCTGCTTTTTGGTACCTCTGAGCTCACTGGTTCTGTGGTTCTGTCATAGGACTCAGAAGTAAAGACAACATTTCATAAATTATGCAGGAACCGTGAGAAAAGGATTATATTCAGGCAACAGCACTTTAAGGCCTGACAGGAAATTCCTGACTAAAAGTGCAATAATAGTTCTCCAAGAACATTAAATTTATTGTTTGTTCAGATGAAAGTAATTCTTGTGCCTCGGTGGGTTCACTGTGCAGCATTTGATGTCTAATGACCATAACTTGACCTTTTACTGTAACCTTGTCTCTTATTTACACATCATTAACACACAACAAAGACTCAAAAGGAAAACATGCTGAGCGCTCACGGTTGTAAAGTAGTGAACGCAAAGTGCTCTTAATGTCAAATTAGTCAGCTATAGAAAAAGGGAAGCCCTTGGGCTTACTTCAGGCACACTAGCCCACACTGAGTCTCCCTCAGGGCGTGACTGGGAAGAGCAGTCAATCAGAGTGGAAAGTTGTGATTCCTTTTGTAGACAATTAGTGGCCAGGAGGCTGATATTACATCAGCATATCACACAATAAAAATACCACAAGTAGGCTGTGTGGAAGGAGAAAAAACTTTTCCCGCTACGCGGAAAAGGAACACAGTGTGGGTCGAAACCGATGCACTGTGGAATTTAAAGCTGCGCTAGTAAATATTTGACATGATGTACAATGTTCGCCGTAATGAAACCACAGCAAATTATCACCTGACTCTACCCTTCAGCTGTGTTTTAGTGCCTTTCAGCTTAATGTTTTGGCTTTCAGTCTGGCAACAGCTTTCTGTTTGGGTTTAAGAGCGGTGAGCTCTCATCAGCCTCTTTTCCAGAGTAAAAGCTCTGATAAACTCACTGCACGCTACCCACCCAGCACCAAATGACTGACAACGCTTTCACTGTAGCACAGCTGTGCCATCTGAAACAGAAAATACCAAATTTTATCACATTCATACAAAACAATCCTTAATAACGTTACGTAGTCAGCCTCAAACTGCAGCAAAGATTAGCTACTACATCACGTGAAATGTCAGCCTGAGCACAATGCACTGAACTGAAGTAATGTCACTCCTTACATGTCCCTAATTACAACACCACCTAACAATTTTCCACCTCTCCATCCATGTTGTCACAACACCATTCATTTTACTGTTCGGACACATTATTTCCCTCTTGACTGTCGATCTGCTAATTGTCCTTTCTTACAACATGATACTGTTATTCATGTCTCTCTTTTCCTCTCGTTTCAATCAATTCTCATTCTGTGCAGTGCACAGCAGTAAATTAGATTACAGAAGCACATGTCCTTCAGGTGGTGGCTGGCAGAGCAACAGAGAGCATAAAGGACACTTAAATTAGTCATTTGTAGTGTGTGTGTGTGTGTGTGTGTGTGTGTGTGTATATATATATATAGCCTACTTTTTATATACTGAATGTCAGACCA